AAAAAAAAAACCTCTCTTTGTAGAACAGCTAAACTAGAGAGTACTTGCCAAACAGCTACACCCGTTGTCACTTGTCACGCAGTAAAATTAAGGTTTTACTCGGGTGATGAGGTTTACAAACGTGATACGCTCGTTTACTCATCACACACGACACGCACAGAGGCTAACAAAAGAATAAATGTACATAAAAAAACACAGCAGTACAGAACACAACCTTAACTGAGAATCCCAAGTACATAAATTCAAATTCATATTCAGAGAATCCATAGTGCGTACCAAATTACGCTATTGACATTTGACAACTAGTAAACACGTGTTTGTTAGTCCTCGATGGTGATACTCCAAAAACATGTCTACCGTTGATTTCAGTTGCTTTGGATAATAGCTGAGAACAACAGCTGGTTTATATCATTAGATTCTGACTCCAGTTCATTGTCTGCATAACAACAAATATTTTTTAGCGTTAAAAATCACTGGGAATGACTCATCAAATACAACCATGAAATAAATAAACTTCTGCATATGTAGTAGCATCAAAGTTTCTGCTAAGATAAAATTGAACTGTAACTCTACTTGTGTTATGAATTTCGCATATCCAACAGACATTCCACATTTTCATGTTTAGACTTCTCATGTATGATTTATGTCATCAATAACCCCATGACCATGAGCAGCAGATTTCAAAATTAAAATTATATAAGCACCACAGCCGGTTATTAGATTCAACAAACAAGGTACCTGTCTTAGATTTGACTTGCATTCCCCACTCATCAATAATCTGCATCACAAGACAAAAAAATAAAAAGAAAAAAAAAAATCCATAAAGGCCAAGCTTCATCTAAAATTCTTCAGAAATAGCCATCAAGAAGATTAGAATTTGTGGCAAGGCAAATATGAAACATCAAGGCAAATACTTTAGGCCACAACATATAGAGAACCTAGACCTTGCCACTTTTATTTTGGTTGCTTGCTGGCAAATGATGCAAAGTCTTGAAACACCATTTGGAAAAAAGGCAACCGGTTGAACCGTGAAAAATTGTTTTCCAACAATCTCAAACAGTTTACACACGCCCTCACGAATGAATAAAAGCTCGACTACTCAGAGTTTTCCTTTTTGTTCACCAGAGTTTTCCTTTTTGTTCTCCAAATATATAAAAAATGAACATATGCTCCTTCAAATGGTATAATCAAGGGAATTTTAATTCGTTAGACAAGCCACAATTACCTGATTAAAGCTGACATAAGCAGGATCATCAGCATCACTAGTGACAGGAACACCAGCCGACGATTGCAATCTCTGCAGCTGTGTCCTGTTTCCAACCAAGAGTGTTCTTGCTTTATCGATGAGATCCTGCAGGTTACCATTTTGCACAATATTTTGTTTTAAGGCACAGAGAATATTAGCCACATAAATTTATTAATAGAAACCATAATCGTAGCTCAAAATCGAATAGTTGAACATGAAATTGAATCATAAAGACCCAATGTTGTAAACATCGAGACCAGAATCATCTCAAACAAAAGGTCAATAACAGATGAACACTCCATTTAAGACTAAGCTACTCATATATAAACCGTTTATATTATCTATTCGCACCCAAAACATATATATACCTCACGAAAAAAATAAAGGAAATTACGCTACGATGCAGTTCAAATATTGCTATTCGATAAAGTGACATCTCCAGTAGTTAGTCCTGTAGCTCACATCCTGTTTTTACCCCCACACAAAATAAAAGAACGAACGATCAGAGCACCAAATTACGGCTATAAAACTCGGTTTTCAGCAAACCAGATTAGGGCATGAACAGCATCACAATTTTCCACATTCCGTTACCTGTTTTGCAGCAAGAAGCTCGCGACATTGGTCCTTCAACGACGACATTTCTTCTTCTATCTTTTTCAACCTCGAGACCAGCTTCATTGGGTTTGCCTGTTGAACACCAAAACACGCTATATAATACAAAGAAAAAGACAGGTTCAAGATACATAAGCACCCGAAAAGAAAAACACACAGCATTTAAAAACGGACATAGCCAAGCAAAAACCAGCGAAGTTAGGTGAGAATTAGGTTTAAAAATAGGGGAAAACGAGAGAAGGTGAGAGATTACAGACATGATCGGGGTAGAGTTGGTTGAATTCCTTGTGGAGCTTGTTGTGGACTGCTGAAAGGTCTCGATTTGCTTTGGAGAACAGATTCAGTAGTCCATCCACTGCTTCATTGTGCTCCATAGCCGACTGCTTTCACTGCTCTCTCTCTCTCTCTCTCTCCCGGCTGATCTAATCCCCCTCCTGTATATTAATCAGAACGCTGAACCGCTGAATCATGGTTGTTTCTGATACTTCGAAATCGTCAAATTACATGTTTGGTTATTAGGTTTTGATAAATTTTAATTAAATCTCAAACTAAAAATAATTAGGTTCAGATTACCATAAATATGTTGATTATTTATGGTCATGTTACATGTATTAATTGCATTTTAATATCATTTCTTATTATAACTATTGAATTGTATATATATATTTTAAAAGTTAATAACTTTTGTATTTTTTGTCAGTTTTACATATATAATATATCAAATTAATCTTCTTTTGATGAGCTTTAATTTAACATCCATATTGTATGTATAAAAAATAATAAAATTATTTGTAATATTAATTCGAAAAATAAAATTATTTATCAACTAATATATTATATTTTAAGTAATTATACGATATAAATTCTAAAAACTAATATAATATAACACATGTAAGTCATAAGTAACACATATCATTTTAAAATATATAGTAATATACAGTGTTTTTCAACCCGGACCGGCCCGGCGGGTCGACCCGGGACCCGGTCGACCCGGAGCCAGAACCGGTCCGAGTGTGCTAATTAGACCGGATAACAAATGAACCGGTCAAACCCGGTCAAAACCCGGTCAACCCGGCCTTGACCCGGGCGACCCGGTTGACCCGGTCCCTACATATATTTTAATTTTTTTTATTTTTTTTTTATTTTTTTAAA